AGGAAATGGTTGATATCTATTGCGTAAGAGATTTCAAAATCGATGGTTCTATCTTTGGGAAAATGCTTTTTCCTCTGGCAATAAATATGTGGATTTGGGGTATTGTGTTGTCAATAAGTAAATCCAGTTGAAACGGGCAATCGAGATCGTCTCCTTTTATATTTCCTGTTCTCCGTCTCGTCCAGTTTATTTAGCTTAAGCTGAGAGGAGCAAAAGTTGAGTACAGTTAGTCCACTGGCCTGCAAAACGGCCACTTTTCTCTCGTGGGTCAGCGACACGACCTCTCTAGCCGTCTCTGCACAATGCAGACCATAAATCCACCCCCGCGCGTCCACCGGCATTGCTTCCGCCACACAACGTTCACTCCGTTGCTTCGCCTTGCCTTGCCTTTGCTGATCTCTCCTCATTACTCCAAATGCTCTACTCTCCTTTCGTTCGCTATTTCCTCCTTCTTCTTCCCCATATATAAATAATAATATGGGAATCGTAGCGAGTGTAAGGCACATCCGAGACCCAAGCTTGACTTTCACCGGTCTTCAACGCCACTGTGGGAATGCATTTTTTGTTTGAATATTCGTATCACACAAACATACACCTCGAAACTTCGATGAGTTTTTGCTTTCTATTTAGTGCCGCCACCCTTTAGACATTTGCTTTCGTTTGTTGTTTATATGTAGGACCTCGAATTCGTTGGGTTGACGATCGATTAATAGCTTTGCAATTCGAGCTCGCAACTTTCACCGAAAACCGACGCCGCGGACTACGAAAACATAAAAATGAAACGGATTATCCTAATCCGTTCCCATTGCGTATTTAAATGGATCTCCAATGGGAGAACGTCAGCTGCGTTACGCGATTACCGTGAGAGCTATTGAATTATGAAAACGGCCGCTGTGCAGTTTTGCACGTTACACAGATCAAGGCCAATTAGCCCGATGAACAGGAAGCTGGGAAAGCGGCTATCGATTTTAGACAATTAGCGTAGACATTGTCAAAGCAGATTAATACATGCACGTTACGTATTCTTCGTAATCCAAGGTTAGGCAAGTGGCACAAACAGGAATCCCTGAAATGTTACTCTTTTATTGTTGCCACCTGAAGCGTGTCGCGTAATTAAAGCAAAACACAAAGCAGACGGCCCAAAGACGATTACGGCTCTAAATCAATTTGTAACCTACCGGATGTCCGCCAAACCGGAAACCGCTCGAAAAAAAAAATAGTCACAAAGTAATTACCGTATTCGCCATTTGCGTACCGCATACAAATTATGTTTTATTTGTTTACTTTCTCAAAGTAATACATAATATATCTTAATAGGTTGACTAAAATATGTTAATTAACAAGTATTGTTTCACATTTCTATTAATTTTAAGTTGATTTTATTACGTACGTTTTTGTTATATTATTTAGTTAAAAGATAACCAATTGAAAAATGAATATAAACCATATATTGATCACTTTTTGGATTGGACTTATTATGGAGTATAGTAAATAAGGTCAGAATTATAATGGAAGTTCCGGTCTTCTCTCAACAACTAAATTGAGGGATTCTAAGAAGCACTCAGCAATATCAAGTATCTATCGAATATCTTTATATAAAATTACAAGGATGCAGCAGCGGTACCAAGACTTGAGAAGCTAATGATCGATGACCTATTAACCTATAATCTCACACAAATTAGACATACGATTTTTAAAAGAAAAACAATAATATAACATTTGTTCTTTTAATATTTCCAACTTACTTTAATAAGGAACGGATAAATATTTATAAAGAATTAAAAATAGAATAGACTCTGTATAAAAGACGGTTGTAGGAGGTCGAGGCAAGCCAGGTGTCTCATTACAGATTGCGCTAATTAATTGTCATTAACCTGAACTAATTTACGTATAAAAATAAACCGTAATCGAAATGGTGCCGTACTTATCTTAATTGAAAAGAAACTCGGACGGTTTTGCCTTATCAATGTAGGTTGCTTTACCAATAAAACAAAGAAAGTTTTCTATTCTTAACATAATCAATCAAAATTAAGGATATTTGTTTATACTTGATAAATTTAATGAATAATATGGAAACATACATGATCGTAGATAGTAGGTAATAATTTTGAATTATATGAACTGTACAAGATTTGTTAACAAGTTGTTTATTACTCATTGATAAATATTCTATTTAATTGTGGTATCTAGATCTCATAATTTAGTGGTGTTATTACAGAAAGGGAAGGAGTTTATTTTTATTATGTAATTGTTATAATCAATATAGCACAACAAAATGATCACATTGAGAATTTATATTTGGAATTTTGGTTCCGAATCACGAAATAAGTAAAAGGAAAGAAGGTTGGAGCAAAGTTTTAAACAAATGTCTAGGAAAATCGGTCGATATTGCATTGTAATGTGCAAAAGCTTTTTTTAGAATTAAATGAATTAATCATAGTCTGATATTTTAGCGAACATAACTTGAGTATGCAACGCATTCAAAGGGATGGAATAATTGAAGAGATAGTGACGGGCGGTGAGCTATTAATAACCTACGGCAAGCATTTCGCGAGTTTTATTATCGGCGTACCATTCTGATATCCGGCAGAATTGATTTTCCGCACCGGAAGACTGCATTCTGCATGCATATGAACATCCGAGTCATTCTATGCCCGAATGCTATATTGTTTACCGACTGTCTGGATGTACGTACGTACGTACAACTTGACGTTTACTGAAGAGAGTTTCTATAGAGAATACACGTCGAACGTGACGTTATTGTATCGACACAATGCACAATCGCCCTTGTCCGACCATCCTAATGTGCTGCATAACTCATAACAACTAACAAACTCTCTGTCTCTATAGATATATATAAGTATAAACAATTTCCCACATAACCAGTGAAACAGAGCCCTTTGTCCCACCATCATCTCTTTGTCTCTTTAAACGTCCTCCTTCCTATCTTCGCTACGAAAACCGTGCATTCGCAAATATCGATTCCATTACGACAAAGCCCCGCTTCTACAAAAGTTTTCGCGAAGGAATTTCATTTGAAGAAATCGCTCAAAAATACGTCTTCAAGTTTATTGCACCAAAATAACTTCTGGTTATGGCATAGTTTGGAAAGCGAGGACCACGTTCATAAATCATGGGATGATACTTAATAAATAATGAGGATATATTTTATCCCCTAAAAATCTCCATGTTTTCATTCCTTCCTCGGCGTGACGCAACTTAATGCTTCTAAGTTACGTAAAATTCCACATAATATTTCAAATGCTGCCGTGAATTTACTTTTCGCGTGAAAGTAAAATACATAAGCTTTAACTGCTAGTAAACTTTGGGAATATATGTTTGGCAAACGATCCGAATTACACGCGATGCACATACTAAATTTGTTACGAAAGTTTACTTTAAATTAATTTAATTCATTCTTACTTTTAATTATATAATAATTAACAACAAACTGACGACTACCAATGTACTGAAAGTAAAGAGAAAAAAAACTATAATTGTAATTATTCATAACTTTCAATTGTTATAGGTCTTTCTACGCAAATAATTATACTTAAGCAAAGTTTAGTTCTTTTTGTCTCGAATTTAGTAGATCGAAGACATTTCAATTGATTTTTTTTTAATTTCTTTATTATTTTCACAATTAAAATTCATTTTGTTTTGAAATTTTCAAATCGGTCTATAATTATTAATACAAACTGATTGAAACTGCACTAATATATTGCTTATATTATACACATGTCTTTTTTTCTGCGTAGTATAAAACCTTATGTTATGTGAACTGTATTTGAATTCTAGGTAAGTTTGGTTGCATAATATCACAAGCAATGTTAAATTACTTCACAGTTACATTAATTAATCAATATATCTAATAACTCGGAAGATTTATACATTTCATCCAAGATAAATTAAGATAAATGCATTACCTTTAGGCAATTTCTCTCTCTCTTTGTATGTACATATTTGTTAAATGTTGCGTGAGAGTACAAGAAAAATGAACGCGTACGGCGAGATGATAAAATGATAATAAATTGTAATCGTGTTTATGAAACACGTTTTAATGTTTTCTCTTCCTTTTTCTTCGCTGTTTGTTTACCCACCGCGTGCTTCGCTTATTTTTTTTAATGTTTCCTAAAGAGAAGTTGCTTTAATATTTATAATTAATATTCTACGAGAACATCACAACAATAGCTTGTATAATAAATACACTAAGGAAGAGTTTCTTTTATTGTATGAGATTAAATGAAATTAATCTAAACAAAAATAGATTTTTGTTTATATTTTTTCTTTTTAATAATATAAATGTATTCAGAGATTCACTTTGCATTTTGTTGTGCACAGGAAAGATAATCCATTGATTATTAATTAACAGTGAGAGAAGTTCACTGACACGTATTATCTGCTGAAGGAATGGATTGCACGAGTCCAATCGCGGACTTTCAATTTGCCTGAATCGTACTATTATTATCACTATTATGTTCATTAATCAACGAGATAATGCTAACAATTACATACATTTTATAATAATTAATATTAGTTTATTGACTGAGAATAGTTCTTTTTATCGTTAGTTCTGTCCATTTAGAATATTACAATTACATATTCCAATCACATTTCAAGTGAGATTTATTATAATATTTTTCTGTAGGGTTAGTCGTAGCAATGCATTCTTATATTTCCTGTATATGCTTCGTCAGATGTTTAATTTATGAAGCAAGAAATGTACCATTTTTTAAATACTTAATACTACCCTTTTTCTAACTCATGAATGAGTTTATTGGTTCTAACACTTCGTAATTTTCAGAATTATGAAAATCAAAATTAAATGTAAATAATAATTATATAATAGGTTTGTAAAGAGAATTTGCGGTGATAATTAGCAGACTTTTATAACTGTATACAAAAGTTTCTCTTTCGACATATTGTGTGCAAAATGTGTAATGCACGAAGATTGATACATACGTAACGATGATGATGATGATGTTTGTTCTGTATTGCAGCTGTGGATTTAGACCTGTGTTCGAGCAACGTCCAAGATGCGTTCGTCATCGCCGTCGAACAGCAAGCCCGAGAACGTCTGGAACGTCTCTCGGCCCTCAAACGGATCACCCCTGTGGACATGACCAAACTGTCCCAACAGGTATGCAAGCATCAACAAAAACCATCGCGACCCCGCTGAATCTATCAATATCTATCAGATCGGATTCAATTTCGCTAGGATCTGCGCGAAGGGCGGGCTGAATATTTCATTCGAACGTGTGTGCGAAAGCCCTTTTTCCCGGAGAGATTTATACGTGCCATAAATCCTCTGGCATGTGTGTGTTGATAAAACGGGTCGAGCTGTTAGAAATTGTCGGGGGCCTGTGGAATGGTCCATCGAGAGGGCCACTTTCGTTCGCATTATCATAATTGATTATGATGTACACGGCACTTTGATCGGGCCTCGCGGTGTCATGAGAACCAGTAGAAATGGAACACTTGAAGCATACTACATACCGAAGTTTCTAGTTTCCACTACACACAAGTGCTTCGGATTTCACAAAGTTCAATACCTATTGCTCTCACTGATTTAACACACTCAATCTGCTCTACTGCCCTTTTACGATTTAATCCTCTCCCCGTTTTATCACATATTTACTTATCATAACATATTATTCTTTAATATGTATAGTAAAAATAAATTGAATAGAATGAGAAAGGTTTTATTTCATTTATTACGAATAAAATTGTAAATATAATGAAGCACATATTTTGAAATGATTTGAATGAAATTAAGACGAAGTTGTAAATTCTTTGTATGGTTACGTTCCACAACTTCAGACATTTAAGTCTTGAGTTGTTCTGTTGAAAAAAAAATGATCCTTAATCCTTTACTGAAAATGTATTACATTACTAAAATTATCAAATAAATATCTAAATTTAAATTTACACTTTTTATGATAAATAACTAATTTTTAATAATTGAAACGTATTATTACATATTATTAAGAGGCAGTTTAAAAGTTTCTGTTTAATACATATGTAAAATGCATTCCAAGTACTGCTTTCAGTCACATTTTATTGCATAATATGAATTCGATATGTGTGTGTATGTATGGAAGCCGCGTGTAATAATAATCCTCCACTTGACTTGATTCCTTCCTCTGTGACTTCTGTTTTATGTTTTGCAGACTCCCTTGAATCTAAGCCGACTCGAGGACAAAGAAAAATATGACAATTCGGTAACAAACAAACAAAAAACATAAACATAGATATATTAAAATTCTCTTATTGATCCGCATATGAAAGCAAAACAGAAATCCCATTAAATTGCACGTCTTCCTGTCTTGTTTTGATTGTCGCGATTCTTAGTTATTTTTATGCGATAAGTTTCGAAAGTAAAAGCGTTTTGCGCAATGCACTCGCACGCTGCCGTATGCTATTTTTCACAAGTTTGCGAAGTAAACAAACATAAAACCGAGAGGGTTCCTTGTAATAAAATAGGTTTTATTATCGAAACTGGTAGACGTATCGAAAGTCTCTCTCTGAATGCTGTAGATTAAAATCGCTAACGGAAAAAAAAAACCATATACAAAGCCATTGATGTAAACAGAGATTCCATTCCAGAAAGGTTCATTTACCTGTTGGACATATTCATACAACAAAAAAAAGAAGAGGAAATAAGCGGAAAAATACCTTTAGTTTGGCTTGGGGTATAATTCTTTGTGCTGATTTGTGTACTACATATTCTATAGTGTACGTTCTTTAAATTGAAATTCTCGATATTATTTATCGTTAATAATATTATGTTTCCTTTCAAATCAATTCTATCTTTTTTCTCATGCTTTACCTAAGCGATTCAATTAAACAAAGCAAAGATAACAAAGTGTAACTCATACATTTAACAATAGTAGATTGATTCATATTTGATAAATTCATAAATTTTATATAAAAAAAAACTAAATATCGGTTTATTTTTTAAATTGTTGTTAATTTAGAATGGAAATTGCGTTATTAATAATCAACATGCATTACTATTGATGTTTAAGGATATATAATTAAGATTTTCTTCAATATAACATTATAATATGATTAATAATTAAGTAGTAATACAATTATTTGTCTTTGACTGACTAAAAATAGTTTTGTTTATTGTCAATGCACATTTCCATCGATTTCATTGTCTCGTAGTAATATAAAAAGTGTGAATCGCAGGAACGGGCGAAAATTTAATTAGATTTTGCATTTTGCTGGTTGAAATCTGGCCTTGTTTATAAGTTTCATTAGTCGTTTTGGAATTTAATACCATTTCCATTTGAATTATCCGGGCGTGGTCGAAATCCAGAATTGTACATTTAGCTAGTTGTCCTCAGTCCACGCATCGTCCTATATGCATTAAAGCTTGTTAGTGGCACAATATCCATTATGTGCTGTCACGAGATTTAAAGCCAGGATCTGATGTGCATTACATAAGCAAGCATACGACATGATATGATATGTGTACGAGCGAGCATGGCCATTATTAAATCGACATGTCTCTCTTGTGTTTCCATGTAGGGCATCATCATAGGTCGGTCGACAAAGGCCTATGAAAATGCCAGTCACACGCAACACTCCTCACCCTGTTTTACGTCAAAAACTTAAAGCCCTTATCGTCGAAGTGAAGTGTCTGCCTGCCTGCCATCTCTCTCTCTCATCCTATCCGTATCGTCCATTCTCTTAGACTCGTTGTTCTTTCTCTCCCTTTCTCTTTCACTATATTCTCTTTGCGGCTTAAACGCATTACAGACACCCTTACAAGTGCACAGGTGGTTTATGAAAGTTTCAAGCACCACTTCCAAACATAATATATGAATTATTTTAATGACATAAATGTAATATCAACAGACGACCATTTTTCATTCAGCATCTTTACATAGAACTTAAATTAGTTTTATTTCGCAACTTTTATTAATGAATATAGAATTCAATAACAAAATTAACAAATTATAAAATCCATGTATCGCAATTCAATATTTTTTCATATTTATTAAACAAAATACTTATAGATTAGGCGAACCTCTTATGGTATGTCAAATTAGGCAACATTTGAAGATTTTAGAAGATTTAGATCTGAATTATAGAAAAAACTATTAGAACCCAATTCTATTTAACATATAGTCAAAGTATCCTCAATAACAAACAAAAAAATACTCTCAAATTAATATTTCTATGAATTATCCTGAAAAGGTTACACGCAAGTATATTCATTGTTATATAATTAACTACGAATATGACATGTCTGTAAGTTCAATGAAACGTAAAATATTCACTTAATGGTTACAGTTAGTGTTCGGAACAGATATCTGTCGGAGACAATTAACAGCGATGAGTACAATTATACAATTTCTATACATTTAAGCGTAATGTAATAATGTCAATTGCAGATATTTTTTTTGTTTATTCGACGAGAACACGTGTACTTGTCAACGACGCTGAAAATATATCGATTTCAATTTACTCAATTTTAAGTAAAATTGTTTATTAAAATGTTAAAAAAAGAAGTTATATAAGAACATTTTATTTACGGTCTAAAAATTTCAAAATAAACTAAATTTTAATTGAGCAAAATAAAAATAAATTGTATTTAGTTCATCGATGTTTCTCAAAGTTTATTGTTATATGAATCAGATGAACATAATTGAATATAATAATTGTAAATGAAAGTTTTCAGTTTGTGTGTGTGTGCTATTTGAGGGATTGTTCTGTGACTGAGATTGCTTTTCTCGCAGTGAAGATTTTCTAGGACAATTCATAACTAGGACAATGGGCGGGCAACGAGTGTGAGTGAGTTGATATGTGAACTTTTTCGCAGTCGAGTACTCAGTTTCTGGTGTTAAAGGGGGTGGACAATGTGGCGCTTCTATTCACCACAAAGGATGACACAGAGGTCTTAGGATGCTGTAAACATTGAAGCGAGAACTGTATCCTGAGATAAAAAAAAAACGAAGAGAAGTCCCCTAACAACATGAAAGACTGACGTGCTGATAGTAACCAGTATATGAGGATTTTATGTCTTGTATCAACATTATATATATTTTTTTTATCTTGTAACAACATTGCCCATTTTATAATATCAGGTGTCTACAGCGAAGCTTATGTAATCGTAAAAACAGTATTCATTTAAATCCAGCTGAAACATATAAATTCTTGATTAGTTTAATTGAATGCGTGATTTCGTTGATTTTTCGAGCGAATGTAGATAAATTGAATCTAATCTGTAGAAGTATTGGTAATTGATAACGTTATATTGTTTCAGCTGAATCAGCAGAGCACTTCGAGCGAAGAGTTGAACGGATTCATAAACAGTTCACCGATTTACGTGACTTCTTTAACTGCCACCGAAAATTTAAACAACAACTCCACAGGAAGCAAGCAAGGTGTAGGAGGAGAGGCCGGAGGTGGTTGTTCGACCACAACCACTGTAAGCGCAGCCCCAGCCGGCCCCATACAACCTGCCCTAGCGAAAGCGAAACAACCCTCACCGACTGCCATCCTGGTGCCGGCAAATCAAACCAATGGACACCACCACCACAACCAGCACCATCATGACCAATCTGATCTGATATTGACCCAGCAGTTCACAGAAGCCGAAAAAGTGCCCAGCGAAGTCCTGCCCAATACCGCCGACCAAGTGCTGGACGTCAGGAAGCTAGGCGATCGCAGAGCCTCATTAGGTACATATTTCTCTCACTTCTCACGGATTCGATTAGACCAGATATTCTGCACATCACACGGTTACGATCATAACGCAATTAATTTATCATAAACTCGTGCAGAGACCATCGCTTTTCATTAACTTCCGTCTGATTTAATCATCTTCCACAGGCGACAGGAGAGCATCGTCTCCATTTCAGAATGGTAGAACCGAGTTGCTAATTGGCGCCGAAGATAACAAACTGAAAACCACTGCAATCATTGAAAACAATAATAATAATAACAAATTAGTTATCGAACCAGAAATTAGGTAAGTTTCTTATGTAATCATATTAGGTAGATAGACACAAATACACAACATTATTAACTTAAATATGAAACATTGTTCAATATGTATTTACCATTCAATAACTGTTTTTCAACATTTAAAGATAATATGAGTATTTGGGTATGTAATTGATTGATAAAGCGTTTATAAATATTTATTGACATGTCTAAATACCAATTGCAAATATTTTCGTTAATATTCAAAATAATGAAGATATTTATTTTTAATGTTATTTCTAATATTCACATTATTGATATAATAAGTATAATTAAGTATTTCACTTTCTGGCTTTTTACATATAGTTCAATGTATTTTTGTTTGTTATGGAACAAAGAATTGTTATTGTTTTGAAATACCCGCGACCTTAAAATAATTGCGTTTTTATCGTCTCTAGTTCCTTTTAAATCGCAGCAATATCCACGTTTGGAGTGGTTATTTTATCGCGAAACGTGTTAAATGTCCGCAGAATGAACGTTTTCTTATACACTCGAACAACCTCATGTGTGAGGTTCGATCCTCCTGCAGTTTACCACGTCCCATTTATGCACCTATCGATTACTTTTACTCGAACTTTTTCTTTTTCGTTTCACGTCGTACATCCATTCTGCATGCAAATTATAGCCAATCTTCTTCAAATTTATCGTGTCATTTCCACGGCGAATCTCTTTAACGTCTCGCGATTCAAAATTAAATACCAACTCTTTTTTTGTCTATGTTTCTTTTCGTTGACAAACAAACTTTCCATAAAATAAATATTTTTTTTCACGTCTTCTGTTTTGTTCGTTCCGATGGGAAAACAAGTAAATATCATTTTTGTAAATAGCTTTTTAGTTTACGTGCGTGTGTTTATATATACATATACCGAAGGGCAGGTAAAAAGCAAGAATTCCATGTAATGTGAACTTACGTGTGTGACTGAGGCGTTGTAGTTTAACAAAGATTAAAAAGCCTAATAATGTTGGAATGGAAACGTGACTCCCTTTTAAATTATGACAATGATTTTTCGCCTCCTAAAAGAAGTGAACAACAAAACAAAAAAAAAACACAAGCCTACATAATGAGAAAGGGCAGAGAAGCCGCTCAGACATTCCGCCCCGGAAATTTGTCTACACTTGAAATGGCTTTACGGAGTGTTGTTGTTTTTTTCTTTTTCAAAAATATATTCGTTGATGAGATTAAAGCGTTTTAAGGCTTGTGGCTGTATTCAAAGCCAATTGTGTTCCTCATTGTATGTAAATGCGGAAAGGCGTAGTAAACAGGAAATAGTCAGCATCTCGCACGGAATCACAATTGATTTTGAAATATTATTGAAATCATTATCTGGATGCGTCACGACGTGGAATTCGTACCATTGCAATTGCAAATGAACACCGATCCTCCGGCCGTTGTTGCTGAATTTTGAGTCATTTCAGACCGAACATTGGATCACAGAGAGCGTGGGAGTTTCGTCGTACCCATTGTGTTCCAGTAGACAGGTGTGTCTTTGACCAGTCTCGATGCTTCCATCTAGGTTCTATTTCCAAGCTATTTCGGAGTCCCGACAATAAGTCACGCATGCTGGAAATATATGCTTCTCTCCTCTATATGGTTTGGTGTGTGTATGTGTTTGGATGGAGGCGATGTGTGTACGCGTTACACCCGTGTAACTTCCAAGAAGTCGATTTCTACCTGCTCGTTTTATCTCCCGGTGGGTTTTAAGGGCACTCCTGAGTCCCATCCAGACGATTGCCAAATTCTTCTAGCGGTGTAAAACATTTTCAGGAATACCTTCACAAACGTAACAATAACTCTAAAATGCAACAGGAAACGCAAAGAATACCTGTCGGTTTACAACGGTTGGACCAATTTGCCAATCTACAAATCATAATTACTGTAATTTGACACTCAATTATATAATACCAATACAATTTAAAATAATGTATATAGTCAAAACGAATGTCTATTATTCTAAATAATCCATCTATTGAATTATTTAACACGTAATTAGTTCACAGCTTAGATAAGTTCTAAGCTAAATATAATATGATTTATTTATTACTTCGAAATGCATTACGTTCTGAATTTATAAATCGTAAAATTATAATTTAATAAGGAGATGCATTGAATTATTCATCGCGAAAACCACATACTTACATCTCAATTAATTCTTGCACCAAATTTGATGCAGCAGTTTGCAAGGTTACATTAACCTTGACTCGTCCTGCTTTGATAATAAAATAGTATTTTGATTATTATTAAACACTGTTAACATTCGAAATTAAAATGGTAATTGTAATTTTGCTTAAAGTGTTTCTAATAAAGTAAAGGTGAATTATATTGCTAATATGATTAAATATTACTAAACACAAGTGGAGCAAAAACTATAATATATTTCTTTATTTTTTATAAAAGATGTTTCGCTTGTTGTTACGTGGCAAAACACTTATTTTCTCTTAATTATAGTAAGTTTCTTTTTTTTTGTAACTTTTTTAATAAGAAATCCATTCATTAAAAAATGAAGACGTTCCTTTCAAAACTGTATTTCACTGTTCCAATTTCTAAATTACCAAATTTCGGTTTCAATTTTCAACCAAAGCCAAAACAAGTTCCCTCCTTTATTGAATAACAACGTATATATTTCGTTTCAAAACTTGTAGTCAATTCGATGATGCACCGAACGAGTTCGAAAGTGAATAACGTCGACGCGTTGCTTATTTTTTTGTTTGTTTATTTCGAAATTCTGATTGCTGTCACATTCATTATGTACAAAGTAAATAAATATTTTCGCTATTCCGTATATAATCTATACGGATAAATAAACAGTTTTCAAAAACATCAGCGACATTAGGAGAGAAGAAAAAAAAACACACACACACACTTTCAATTAGCTGTTGAAGGCTGCACTAGAAACGCATATCTTTGTCGAAATCCACTTGGAAACTCTCACCACGAACGCATCGTTGCTCATCCAATATTCCAATTATTCTCTATCTAATAATAATAAACTTATAATTATGAAGTATACATATTTGATTCATTTTTTCATAATCCACAGAAGACTTTTACTTTATACACTATACAAAGTATAGTTGTATTTACTTATAACTTATGATAACATTAAATGTTAATAGACTCTAGTCTCAGTCCAAATAATTATAATTCTTGAGTGTTTTGTAAATTGTTAACTTTTTAGTTTTAACTTAATTAGAACTAGAATATATTGTATAACAAACAATTATAATTGAATTGAATAAACTGTTGTTGGAAATTTGAGCACTGCTAAGAATCGGTTATTGTTGCAAAAGGTTTAAATATACGTCTTCCGTTTGCATGATGTTGATTGAAGCACGCCAACCGATTTTAAATGTGCGCGGATTATATATCTTTGTTTACGTATTTGTGCATACGAGCACCATGAGAACCTCGTGAGCAGCAGCGAAAACGAGCAGATGGAATAAAAAGGACATAAAACTAGTTACGTTTTACCGTAACGTATAAAATATATGAATTATTAAAAGCATCTTCCTTATCTTCTCTGTCTCATTCCTTTTCGCAGCTCCTCTCGGAACGTACGTGTCGTTGACATTCTTACAGAGAGAGAAAGAGAGAGTTAGAGAAGGAGAGACAGGAGTAAACCCCAAACAAAAATACGACCCTCAACAAAGAATAAAACATTCCATTCCAGATAAAATTGCTTACGGTGTATTTAATCACTTTAAACTGAGCTGATTAGTTTTTTTAAACTGGACGTTATGTAAACTCATTAAAATAGGTAATGATTCACGATTATCGTGTATTGTTTATATATTTGTTTTATTGTTAATTCTACTTTAAAAGAAACACAACTTGTGAAAAATCACAAAATTTTAATAAATATAACGTAAAGAATATTATTTGAGTGAAGAAATTTCAAATTGTATAGTGCGAGTGGGTTCAGTTCATAAACTTTATGGCAGGCATTTAAAATTGATTTGCTTGCAATAAACGGCCCTAAGTAGGCGCCGCCTTCATTGTAGAAATTACTAGAATCCGATGAACTTAGATACGAACAGGTATACAAATCTTCAATAAGCCATAGATTCCAGAATGGGCAAAATTGCATCCGGTTTAACGACAGGTACGCAAGGTTCTTTGAATATTTGATCTTCTCCGCAAAGGTCGAAGCACAGGTGAAATATGGTTAAAAATCAGAAGGTATTTAAAAATATTGTTGCTTCAACACTTTTCATAAATAAGAATTTAAAGAAATGGAAAAGTTAATATATATATTAATAATGAATTATGATTTATTTAATCTAAATATATTAAAAATATGCGCAATGATTATACTTATAAAATAAGAAAAGAAAAAACTAAATTGAATTTCTTTATTTTCCATATATCAGCAAAGTCTTGTGGTGGTGTATGTTGTTTCTTCTGTTTTTGGAATTAATTTGTTTAAATGGAGAGTTGATATCCACTACGGCCCTGTTTTGCGTCTTAAGTCCACGGCCGGATGGTCGAGCGCGTTCTTCAGGTGACTCGATGGAATTCACCGAGTGTTGAACTGGTCAACACAGTAGAAAACAGTTTCGATCCTGTGGATCTCCTCCTATCCTTAGACATAACCCGAGCCCCACTCTAACCTTTTTTCTTGCGTACCTGCTGAACACCACCCACTTCATCTCAAGAATTTTTACTTACCATCAGTCTTCGCTCAGTCGAAGAGTGGCTTACGTTCAACGCGCGATACGAACATACCATAACATATATATGTGTATATATAGTAAAAGCAATAACAATAGTCGCGATTGTTATGAACAAACCAGTATCGTGGATAGGATTGTTGTACAGTGATAGGTACACTCACGTTCAGTTAAGTCGCGCGCGCTTATCCTCTGTATGTGCGACTGGCTCCCGGCCTTATCTTAACTTCGTTATGTTAAGATTGAATTAAGTGTTTGTTTAATAATAATTGGTGTTAGTTGCGTTTTCTGTGATTAAGATCCACGATGCGTTTCGAGATGAAAGTTCTAAAACACTGGTGAGTAATTCGATTCGATACGATTGTTATTCGGTGCGGACGAATTGGAAGATGCACAAATGTAATCTGTTTTTGTTCCATACCCGTTTTCGCCATGCATTTAATTGCATCGGAGGAAGTCGCGTTCAAGGTTGGCTCGTTTTAAGTCAAATAATTTCAAAATTGTTTGTTCGTAACATTCGTGTAATCATCATAAGATATTTGTCTTCTAAAGTGCCAATCTTTTTGTATCCAAGTACTGCATGTCATGTCTAGACGCCAGACTAATTTATGTAACATGATTATTACTGTAAGCACAAAGGCATCAATTTCAAGTGCATTTCTTTCGGTTTTTGTCGTTTCGAGAAATCCGATACAGTAAACGAAATAGGACAAGCATTATACACCTGTGTAATGAGTTATTATCTCTTGTTTTTCTTGCTTCGAACACTTTATGTCGAGTGTCGTATTTCCTCATCTTATATTTACACAACGCTCGGGAGATAATAAAATAGAGAAAAGGAAACGTTGGGAATAGTTGTGACGCGAATATTTCTCGCGTGATTTCCATTCAACTCTTCCAAGCTTATCTTGTCGGTCGAATCTATGAAACGCACCTGTTGGGTTTCTCAAAGACAGGTAGTTGCGGCCCATAAGGGGAGACCAAAAGAGGCTCAACGGACGATCCACCTGACTGCCACGGGGTGTATTTGCTTCGCTGCCTTTTCGCTCTACCGGAAAAAAAAAAACAATGAGAAATACCGGAGCCCCTAACCCTAAGACGTGTTATTAAATTCCTGAAATTTTATTCACTCGAGAAAAGAGATTAAAGCCGAAACTTAAAGATAGAATAGCGTTCATTACTTTAGTAGATTTCTGGAAACTCTTAATTACCTTTCCATATTA